TTAGATGGTTTATACATCTTTTGAACAATTTTACAACCACTTTTGTAAATAGTTTCTATGAAATAACTATGAAAACCTTATTTTAGTACTAAATTTTGAAAATTTTTAATTAAATTTTTTTTTTAATTAAAAAAATTAAAAAAAAAAATTATAAAAAAAAAAAAAATCGGCGGCGCCTAGGGGGCGCCTAACGTTTTTTGCAACATTGATTATAATATATATAATTTTTGGCCCCCCAAAACATTTACCCCTGCCGGCTGTCAAGTCTCCCAAATCTCAAGTTCCAATAAAGAAATATATACTTTTTTTTTTTTTTTGAGAAAAAAGGCAATAAATACTTCTTTTTTTAAAGTTGAAACCCCATACAAATTTTTACATATTTTATTCTTCCCAGAACAAGTTTTCATTCCTGCAGGGCTGTAGGTTTTCATCTTCTTCAATCCTCCATTCTCATTTAATAATTATTTTGGTAATTTTTTCATTTTTATTTAAAGCATTGAATAATTACATTGTAAATTTGTATTATAATTAACTCTCATAAATATTTAAAATTTATTTTCTTCAGTTTATGCTTTTAGTTTTCTTCCATTAATGGCTAACAAAAACTAGTACAGGTTGAGAAACACAGTCACACAGGGAATTGAGTTTAATTAACTAATTAAGATTTAAGAATATTATATGCACTAATATATTCTTGATTTTAGAAGATCAGATTTGATAGATTATGGAAAATTATGTCTTGTGGCATATTATGTTAATTATGTTATATTATATTTTTATGTCATTACTCATTATTTTAAATGTTTAATTGATTTTTTTTTGAAAATAAATGTTTAATTGACTTGGTTAGTTTAAATTAGAGTTAATACCCAAAATCGTCCTCGACTATAGTGGTTTTTCTCAATTTCGTCCTAAACGACTTTGGTGACCTAATATCGTCCTAGACTTTTGTGTTTCGCTCAATTTAGTCCTAGACTTTTGTGATTTTGCTCAATTTAGTCCCTCATTTGTTATTCTGTCTATTTGGTGTTAAATAAATAGACAATTCAGTAATTTTAATATTAGCATCTCTTTACTCATAGGCATGTGAACTGCGAAATCCCTTTTTTTTTTTTTACGAATTACTCCCAGAATTACTCCTAAAACTGCGAATATAAAATTTGATTTGCAAGTCCGGGAGTAATTCTGGGTGTAATTTGTACAAGAAAGAGGAATTTCGCACTTCACAAGTTGAAAGTAAAGAGAGATCAATATTGACATTACTGAATTGTCCCTTAATTTAACACCAATTTGACGGAATAACAAATGGAGGACTAAATTGGGCGAAACACAAAAGTCTGGGACGATATTAGGTTACCAAAGTCGTTTAGGACGAAATTGAGAAAAACCACTATAGTCGAGGACGATTTTGGGTATTAACTCTTTAAATTATTAATTGACTTATTAAAATATTAACATTATGATTAATTGTGAATATAGGAAGATTAAACGGTTAATTATGTTATATTATATTCTTATGTCATTACTTATTATTTTAAATGTTTAATTGACTTGGTTAGTTTAAATGTTTAATTGACTTACCAAAATATTAACATTATGATTAATTGTGAATATAGGAAGATTGAGTTATAATGAAAAAGACACAAAAAATTGATACTTTTTTTAAAAGAATGAATTCTGAAGATTCAACATCTCAACAAGATGGATGATCAATTTCTTAATGATTGTTTGTTAGTGTACATTGAAAAGAAAATTGCAAAAACAATTTAATATAAATTCAATTATAGATGAATTTCGTGATATGCAAGAGAGACATTCTAATTTTTTATTATTTTTTTTTTGGTGAGGAAAGAGAGGCTAGGCCTCAAAACTAACGTATTCTACGATTGAAAGCTCCCCTGCATCTCTGGCAAGAAGAGGTATCAAGCCCTCCATAGCTTCATTGAACACCCAGGTGCCCCAATCTTTCTCTTGACCAAGATTGGCTAGAAAGTCGGCGCAAGTATTCCCTTCTCTGTAAACATGCGTGAAGATGATGTCTTCGAACTTGGAGGCCATTTCCATGCATTCCGTAGGAAGAGAGCCATAAACCCGGTCTTCTTCCTTCTCTCCGTTCATGAGGTCAATCACGCTCTTTGAATCCATTTCAACAATAACCCGTGCAACCCCTTTTTCACGACAGAGTCGTAAACTCTCCCTTAGGCCCCACAACTCTGCCATGAAGCTATTAGTCCTTCCAAGCTTCGCTGTGAAACCCCAGACCAAATTTCCTGTTTCATCTCGAACAAGCCCCCCGGCCGAGGCCATTCCCGATGTTTGTTTTGCAGCTCCATCGGTGTTAAGCTTCCGCCATCCGTGCCCTGGGGGTGACCATGTCACCCACTTCGAGCTTGCGCTGTGAATGTTACCTGCCCTCAAAAGACTTTGCGTTTCATTGAGTTGGGTAGCTACCCACGAGGCAGAAGTCAGAGGTGACACTCTGGACTTGTTAAACACCCAGTCGTTTCTCGCTTTCCATCTAGCCCAGAGAGTGAGAGCGAATCTGTTTGGCCAGTTCTTGTCCGTGGTGATAGTGCAATTTGTTTTAATCCACTCCTCAACCGACCAGTAGATCGGAAATCCAAAGAGTGTTGGTGTCGCTGATAGCTTCCACAAAACTTGAGCCGTGTTGCAGTCCCAAAGCAAATGACGTAGAGTTTCTTCGCCGTTCTCGCAGCAAGGGCACATGGCCGAATCCGCTAAGTGTCTTCTAAGCCTTTCCGCGTTTGTGAGTAGTTTGCCTTTTAGAATTAGCCATAAGAAAGTTTTGATCTTCTCACAGCAGTCCAGCTTCCACATCCAACTCCAATCTTCGTCGATGTCTTCGAACCCTGCAATACAGTTATAAACCGATTTTACAGTAAACTTACCACCGTTGCCCTTAGGCCATCCTATGGAGTCTCTGGTTTGGTTATTACTCGGGATCAACACCGCGCGGATGGAGTCCACCACTTCGTCTGGCAAAATTTCCTGTAACTTCGGGATGTCCCAGGTTCTATTGTGTAACATGAAATCACTGACCGAGCAATTGTCGAGGTGATCGGGAACAATTATATTATTCAGGTGTTTTAGAGGCTTTGCCCCCACCCACCAATCTTCCCACAAGTTGATCGAAAGCCCATCGCCAACCTCTCAGATTGCGTTGTCAATGATAGAGGACCTTCCTTTCATTATACTTCTCCATGCCCAGGATCCATTAGTTGGAGGTGTGACAGTAAGGAAGTTACCATTTTTGACATACTTGTCTTTCATAAATTTTATCCAGATTTTATCCGACTTTGTGCTCATCTGCCAGGCAAGCTTCGCGAGAAGAGCTTCGTTGAAGTGGGAAGCTTTCATAAGCCCGAGACCACCAAACACTCGTGGTTGACACACTTCATCCCAATTTACCAAATGTATTTTCTTCTTATCTTGTGAATCGCCCCACAAAAAGTTGCGACAGATTTTGTCGATGTCATCGCAGGTACTCTTGGGAAGAGCGAGCGCTTGCATGGTGTAGGCTGGAATGGTCGCAAGAGCTGACTGAGTAAGAATTCTGCGGCCTGCCAGGCTGAGGGAATCCCGTTTCCACCCCGCAAGTTTCTTTTTCATCTTTTCGAGCACGTACCCGAAAGTATGTCTAGAGACTCTGTTGTGGAGCACCGGAATACCCAAATACTTACCCATATTGTCGGTCACTGGGATCCCTGCCACCTCCCCTAGCTGCCGTTTGATCCTGCCACTTGTGTTAGGAGAGCAATAGATAAGAGATTTATTAAGATTAATTGACAAACCTTATTGTTTGGAAAAGACCTCTACTACCCCGAGTATTACCCGGAGTTGCTGTTCCGAGGCTTCTCCAAAGAGAATGAGATCGTCAACGAAGAAAAGGTGAGAGATTTCTGTCCCACCTAGCGCTACTTTAAACGGCCTCCAGTTTCCTTTCCTAACTTCCTCCTGAATGGCCCAAGAAAGGACTTCCATGACTAGAATAAAAAGGTAAGGGGCAAGAGGATCCCCTTGTCTCACTCCCCGACCAGCACTAAAAGGCGGTAGTTTGCCCATTCCAATTGATCGCGATGAAGCAATCTTTTAGAGAGGATAGCTCGAGCGAGATAAATAACCTGGGGAAATTCATTTTGACAAGAGTTGACTCCAAGAAATCCCAGTCCAGGCTATCATAAGCTTTGTGAATATCCAACTTAAGAATCATGAAGCTTTTCTTGCCTTTCTTCTTCTCCATGCTGTGGACGACTTCCTGTGTTAGAATTATGTTGTCCAGAGTTGATCGGAAGGAGACATTCTAAATTTTAGTACATTTGTAATGCAATAATCTATTTTGGTATATGTTAAATGAATATTAATGTATTTAATTGTTCACTCTTGAATCGTGATTGGTCCCCGCATCACATAATCCTGGCTCCGTCCCTGTGTCTTGCAATAGGGGTAACCATCGCATTGATAACGAAAGTGAGATCCTCCACAAGCATAGCAAGTAAGCGACGACTTCATTTTCTCTCACATATGCTCCTCAATAGTTTTGTACTTTTGTAGGAGTCATTTGGATCTTTTGGCTTGGGGTTGTGCCAATTTTAACACATAAGCTCCATAATGGATTTCTTTTCATATGTAAATATTGAATATTCAATATATAAATTGTGAAATTTTCAGGGTTGTAAAAATCGGTCTAAGCGCCCGCCTAGGCGCTAGGTGCCTCTAGACCGTGGCGATTTCCCCCCTAGGCGCCCGCCTAGGCGCTAGGCGCCTCTAGACCGTGGCGATTTCCCCCCTAGGCGCTCGCCTAGATTATCGGCCGCCTAGGCGTCCGCCTAGCGCCTAACTCAGCCGATTTGGCCGCCTAGCGTCTAAGTTAGTCAAGTTAACTAGTCCATTTCGGTCGAGTTAACCTGATCGGCTCGGTCTATTTTTTTTTTTTTTATTATATATGTGTGTGCGCGCGCGCATACATATATATAATATGACATATATACACTCGTAGACTAGTTTGATACTTTGAATCTTTGGATGATTGAAGTATTTGAGTATTTCATATTTGAGTATTTTTAATTTTTAATATTGTTTTAATGTTTTTTTTTTTTTTTTGAAAACCATTGTTTTGATGTTATGACTTATGAATTATCATTAATTCATTTATTTGGATGTGTTATTTGATTAAATGTTGAAAACAACCTCATTAAAATTGTCAAACTGCAAGTCTACCACTGTTTTTTTGGCGCCCGCCTAGCGCCGCTTAGACCGCCTAGGCGCTAGGCGCTGTCCGGACGCCCGACTAGCGCCTAGCGCCTACTGCAACCATAAAAATTTTAGACATTGATCCACCTTACAAGGTGAACCTGGTCCACAAAATAATTTGCCATATATACATACCTCTACATTCTCCTTGTAACAGGGGCCCACACTTTGAATATTTTAACTAATTTTAGCTTCCATCATCTGGGCCCCTGTTAAGTCGTTGGGCGCTTGGGCAATGGTTGGTGTGGTGCTACTTTTGTCATTTAATTTCTTTCCTAAAATTCATTGCATGTTTTACGTTCATACGGGCTCATGCCACTGCCACTGCACACGTGCACATAAAAGATAAATAATCACCGTTTCTACTCCCAGAGTTCCACCACTGTCTTCTTCTTCTTCTTCTTGAAGATCGAGTGGATTTTAGAAGGTTTGCAATGGAAAATTTCGCAGACGAAAAGGGGGAGACGATAGCCGGTGAGCAGCAGCCTCTCTTGGAAACTTCCGCTCCTCAACCTCAGGGTGGTGGCTTAAGAACTCTGCCCTTCATTGCTGGTAATACAATTTTTCCTCTCCTTAGCTCTTTTCTTTCTAAATACCTCTCATCACTTCATACATATGTATGCGTTCGTGCTTGTATTTGTGTGTCCGTGTGAACTGTTTTTGCGTAAGTGATAAGCGCTTGATCATAAGGTAGATAGTTTTTGTTGATTTGTAAAATTCAGTGTTTTTCTTTAATCAAGAATTGGGTATGTACCGCCGGTTCACTTAGCTTGTTAATTTGAACATGGAGTTGTGTATCACGGCTGGATATTATGAAATTTCCGACCACCTGAAAGTGGTCTCAAGATTTGTTCCGACCACTTTTGGTACCCTGAAAAATCTTTATTGCTATTTCCGACCACTTTCAGGTGGTCGGAAGTTCTATAATTTTCAGTAGTGTATAATAATTTTGGTAGCAATAATGAATCTAGAGCTGGTTTTTATCTTACTGTAATTTTGTATGGGGTGATCATGGATAGGAAATTTGGCATTGACGATTATGGTGACTAGTGGGTTAGCTCCCAACATGATTCTGTATCTGATGAGGGAGTATCAAATGGATATGGCTAGTGGATCCAATGTACTGTATTGGTGGAGTGCATCTTCTAATATCACCCCTGTTATCGGAGCTTTTATGGCAGATTCATTTGTGGGCCGGTTTCAAATAATTACCATGGGATCTGTTATTAGCCTTGTGGTAAAAGTTTACAGTTAATTCTTATATATAGTTTCTGGACTGCATAATTTAGCATAATTTTCACAGCTAGTTATTGTGGTTTTATATGTTCTTACTTCTTACAGTTTCTTGCTAGCTTTACTAATTTCACTAGGGTGGGTGCTGATAATTATGTACATTTATTGCTTATTTATTGACACTTTGACTATTTTCAATCATTTACACTTCTGTAAACAAGAAAAGGACATTATTTTGAAAATAAGATATAAGCTCTGATTTTACTTTTCTGAAGTCCTGGTAATGAGTTTTTGTTCTACTTAAGGAGAGGTGATGAAAGCTATGTTGGTCTATTGTAAACATCAAGGGATAAATTTTAGGGGCAAAGTCATTGTCATTACAGCTAATGAACTTTTGTACATATATTTGTTGGCAGAATATCAGAAGCACATAGGGTCTCTCTCCTTTTTTATTTTATTTTTTAAAAAAACACTGATTTTTTTTTTCCAATTTTTAATTATACAATTTTGTTCATATTTTTTGAAAATGAACCAAACACACCAATATAATTTTTTAAAATGTAACCAAACACTAATATGGAAAATGTTTTCTGCAACCAAACAATGGTCAGCTTTTATGCATCTCATTCTTATTTTCCCTTTTAGTGCTTAAATTTTCTTCAATATAATCGTAATGCCACTAGTAGACACTACACCAAATATAGCATTTAGGGGCGGTTTTTTTTTTTAATGTTTAGGGGCGGTTACAAACCGCCACTACTGCGTTTCCGGACGGTTCCCCAACCGTGTCTAAATAGTGTGTCGTGAAGGTTTTAGCAGCGGTTTTTTACAACCGCGGTATAGAAAAGACTCTTTGCATGCATAGAACTAAAGTGTCTTGGATGATGAAACACATATTTTCATTATTTTGTAGGGAATATTTCTCTTTTGGCTAACAACTGTTATACCGCAAGCAAGGCCCCCTCCCTGCTTGGTTTCGAACAACAATACTTGCAGTTCTGCAACAGCGCTCCAACTTTTTCTTCTATTTACCTCTTTTATTCTCGTGTCAATTGGTTCTGGAGGGGTAAAATCTTCTTCGTTGGCGTTTGGCGTTGATCAGTTAAAGAATGAGGGTGTGAAAATGGAGAGATACTTTGGGTGGTACTATGCTATTACCTTAGTGTCTGGCCTCGTTGCCATGACTTGTCTGGTTTATATCCAAGAGAACATGGGGTGGGAAATCGGCTTTGGAGTTCTTCTTCTGCTTATGCTCTTTGCTGCTGTTTTAATCTTTCTGGGTTCCCCTTTTTATGTGAAACCAAAGCCCAAAGGAAGCTTAATCACAGGGTTAATTCAAGTGATTGTAGCTTCTTATAGAAAGAGAAGTATTGTGCTTTCATTTGCCAATGGTGGAGGTATAGCATACCATCAAGAAGGTACCATGTTACGTCTCCCAAGTGAAACACTGAGGTAAGATCATTTTATCAATTTTTTGACACTTTTAGTCTCACGAGTATTGTTTCACTAACAATGTTGATCCACTACTTTCAAAACTTGCAGAATCCAAGTATCATTTTCTTAGGTGTATATATATGGTCCTTCCGGTTGTGAAATCCCAGTCCATTTTTCACCGGGAAAAAATATTTCCCCTATATAGCAAGGGTAAAACCGTCTTTTCCTTTTATCACCACTATTCCATTAATGACCACTTTGTAATGGCTTTTCTGGACAATTTTTTTTTTTTATTATTTATTTTGGTCATTAGAAAAGGAAATGACAGTTTTACCTTGCTATAATTTTTTCCGGTGAAAAATGGACCATTTATGCTAAGAAAATGAAATTATCATAAACCAATTATGCAAATTTTGAAAGTAGTAAATCAATATTGTTAGTGACAGAATACTCGTGGGACCAAAAGTGTAAAAAACTCTATCCTTTACCTTTACCATTACCAATTCTCATTAATTACCATTCTGGGTCCAATATTTGAACCAAACACACGGTACCCTTACATTTAAATTATTGATTATATATAGGTTTCTTAATAAAGCTTGCATCATACAAGATCCCCATCAAGATCTGAACTCAGATGGAAAAGCAGCAGATCCATGGAGTCTTTGTACAGTAGATCAAGTAGAGGAGCTGAAAGCAATCCTAAAGGTTATCCCAATATGGGTTACTGGTGTTATAATGAGCATAAATATCAGCCAAGGTTCTTTTGACACCCTTCAAGCCACCACTGTGGATCGCCATATAATAGGCTCAAGCTTTGAAATTCCAGTAGGCTCCTTGGGAATTTTCGCATTCGTTTCTATAGTAATTTGGCTTGTGTCATACGAACGAGCTATTATACCCATTGCTTCAAGAATCATGGGAAAGCCGGCTCGTTTCAGTACCAAGACAAGAATGGGATGTGGGATCTTTGTATCTTTCCTATCCGTCGTGGTGGCAGCCATTGTGGAGACGGTTAGGCGGAGCCTCGCAAATAAGGAGGGATACTCGGAGGACCCAGATGGTATAATCGAGATGTCGGTATTGTGGCTAGTGCCACACTTGTTGCTTGTAGGCATTGCAGAGGCCATTAATGCAGTTGCCCAAAACGAGTTCTTCGTATCAGAGTTCCCCCAGAGCATGGCGAGCATAGCGTCCAATCTTCTCGGGCTGGGGTTCGCTGCAGGGAGCGTAGCGGCCAGCTTTCTGATGAGTGCTATCAATGACATGACTGAAGGAGGCGAAAGTGGGAGCTGGATATCCAGCAACATAAACAAGGGTCACTATGACTACTATAATTGGATTCTTGCCGGGTTAAGCATGGCTAATATGTTGCTTTTCTTCTTTTGTAGCCGGGCTTATGGCCCCTGCCGGGAAGAGAATGACCTAAACGCGGTTGTGGAAGTAGAGGGGGAGTCCTAAACTAGTACTGTATCAAGCAAGTTAAAGCCTTCATATCCCCTGTAAATCATTACATATAAGATTGACATGTATATGCCTAGGCATAATGGATAAGTAAATTTTTGTTAGTTTGTAGTTTATTTAGTTGTAGTAGCAGCCTATAGACTAAGTGCACTGCACTATCATATTGAGCATTATAATAAGATGATGATATATTGTAGTTTCAACTTAACTTCCAAATTCTATTTTACTTGAGTTAGGGCCAGGGGCGGAGCCAGAATTTTTGTTTAGTGAGGGCGTAACATTACAACAAAAAGATAATTTGAAAAATAAAATAAAACAGTTAAGAAGTTATCCATAAATATTGTTGGATATAGACAAAAAATAAAACACATCAAAACATTATAAAAATATTTATAACAAAATATGAAATATAATTAATTTGATATAATAATTTGTATGTGTGTAAAAATCTAAGGGGGTGTATTCAATCATGACTTTTGTAGAGTTTTAAAGACTTTTAAACTGATAGATTTTAATAAACTTTGATTGACTTTCATAGAGTCGTTCAAAACTTTTTAAACCTTTATAAGACTCTATAAAAGTCTATATAAAAAACATTCATAGACTTTTATCAACTTTCTTATTTTAAAAAGTCTACAAAAGTCATTGAAATTCTAAATTGTATACATCCTTACAAACTTTTAATGAATTTGATTCTTATCATTTATAATTTTTTCTTACAAAACATTTATAATATATCATAAAATTCTTCTTATTATATAGTTCTTCACCCATATCAACATTCTTAGCATTATTATTTTTAATTTTTATCCATAGTATTGAACAATAAAATTTATAATAAAAGAATTGATAAAATAAAATATTTAAAAATATAATTACAAGTTGCATAAAATAAAAAAAATAAAAATATAATATTAATATATATATATATATATATATATATATATATATATATATATATATATATATATATATATATATAATTATACTTGATATATTGATAGGCATCACACAAAGAACTATTATTTGCAATAGCAATTTGAGACTGCGAACAACAACAAGGTGCTACTGTTTACAACTCCAAATTGTTATTGCAAACAGTAGTTCGCTATTCGTAGTAACCTGTTGTTAAAAATAAATGAAAAATATATGTTTCAAATATAAACATAAAAAGAATAAAAATCAAAATATATATATATAAGTATTTATATGAATATTATGAATAAAATTTGATAATGAAAAATTTGCTTTGTTCATGTATTTAGGGAGAATTAGAGAAAGTTAGGGATAAAAAAATTCATATAAAAAAATCAATATAAACAAGCAATAATGAAGTAAAACTAATATTATTTCAAATTTTCAGAGTAAGATTGTAAAGTTTAGGAGAGAGAAAAATATGTAGAGTTTAGGTATGAGGAAAATATATGATAATGAAGAAAAAAATTATTTTATTAAAATTAGATAGGTTTATAAAGTTAAAATAGGAAGAAAAAATAGAGTTTAAATAGAGAGAAAACATTCAAAATTGTTAGAAAGAAAAATTTAAAATCTTGGGGTTGATGGTTGGATTTCAACTATTTATATTTGAGAATGAAAAGTCTACGAAAGTCTACAAAAGTTCTAAAATTAAAAAGTCTACAAAAGTTTATAACTTTTTGAATACCACATGACTTTTAAAGACTCTCTAAAAGTCTTAATCGAATACCACAGGACTTTTAAAGACTCTTTAAAAATCTTGATTGAATACCGTCTGACTTTTAAAGACTCTCTAAAAGTTTGAATTGAATACCTCCAAACTTTTAAAGTTCATAAAAGTCTTTAAAACTCTATGAAAGTTATGATTGAATACACCCCCCTAAAGTAATTTTAAAAACTGGCTCACTATTAATAATAGTGAAGCCATAAAAGTGAAGAACAAGCAACTATTAATAAAAATAGTAATTTTTAAAACTGGCTCACTATTAATAATAGTGAAGCCAAAAAAGTGAAGAACAAGCAACTATTAATAAAAATAGTGAAAGTCTACGCTATAACCATAAGAGGGTTTTGAACCCGACCACTCATTATATAACACACATTCCTTGCCACTTGATCTGCCTCAACTCTTGTTAATATTTTATGTTTTCTTCTATTTATACTATAACTTGTACTATATATACAAATATAGATACAATGTTATATATGGGGTGAAGGTGGGGGGAGTGGGGGCAGCTGCCCCCACTGCCCCCATTGTAACTCCGCCCCTGGTTAGGGCAAAAACATTGCTGCTATTGCCCTTCAGAACTTTTGAATGTGGAAACATTTTTTAAACAAGAAAGCACTAACTCAATAATTTTTGCATCATAAATTAGAGTATTAAAAAAATTTTAAATATCCCTTATCTAAAAAAATTCAGTTAATACAAAATAGTTTAATAAACTTTTGATGAGACCAAATATTCCATCATCATCAATAACCACTAAGATGCCTGATGGAGATACTGAGATTAACCCAAAAATGGGCCACTACAGCGCGCGTAGCACTGTGCGCCCCGCGCTTCCCAAAACGACGTCGTTTTGGGAGGCGCGGTAGGGAGTTGACGTGATTATGTGTATTTGTTTATACAATTATGTATATTTGTTTATACAATTATGTGTATTTTTTTATACAGTTATGTGTGTTTATTTATACAATTATGTGTATTTGTTTATACAATTATGTGTATTTTTTTATACAGTTATGTGAAACGACGCCGTTTTGCATCAGGGCGCACAATGCAATGCGTGCCCCGGTGCACGATTTAAATTACCGGCAAGGGCAAATGCACCCGGGGTTAGCCCCTGGCTGGCTAATTTCGCCCTGGAGCCCGTCTTCAGGCCCGGGAAGGTGGCCCTTGAGTTAGTCTCTCGCAATCGTTATACCGTGGACCCCAATCCTATACGACGTCGTTTTGAACTTTAATTTTAACGGCAATCGTTTGTTGTTCAATTCGTGCTACAACAGTTTTTTTTTTTTTTTTTTTTTTTTTTAACTGTAAAGCATGTGTATGTATATCGTGTTATGTGTTTTTGTAAATCATGTTATGCAATTCTGTACATTAAGCGTAAGGATTCTGTACCTGAAATTGATTAGTAGTTGTATAACACAAAACATATTGTGTCTTATTTTATGAATTTATGTCTTGTATTATGAAACTAGTTTTTTACGCGCATTGCGCGATTGAGATAATGCCCAATGTTTTTCTTAAATAAGTATTTTAAAGTATATCAAGACATGATTATATTAGAATTGTTCATGCATAGATAATTGAATGTTGATTTTGCGTATTTAAATTGGTAATTCTAAGTTTAGAAATGCAAGATAATATAGTTAAGATTGATTATAATTGTCAATAAAATAATTGTATGGGTATGGTTGAAACCAAATACGGGACATAAGGGAGAACAAATAAAAATTAAAGCATAAAATATTAAATATATACTAATATTGTTTGAGGAGATTCCGGCGGTAGGATTTGTGGTTAGAGTTCTATTAAGACTTTAATATTAGAATTAGATTAATGTTGTAGTTATAATTCTATATTAGACTTTAATATTAGAATTAGACTAACGGTGAATTAACGGTACTTAATGGAAAAGTTATTCGAAGCTTGGATGACATCTTCATCGTGGCAGCAAATGGGCCCCTCTTGTGCCCTTTGACCCTCTTCTAGCCGAAATTATGGCTGTACGTGGCACTTTCGTGGCTAAGGGAACACGACTACTTGAATATCAGGCTTTACTCAAATTGCGCGGTTCTTGTTTCAAGTTTTCATGATGCAAATTCTTTTCGTACTTATTTTGGTGTTGTTTTAGATTCATGTTTACGTTTGGTTAGTTTGATGTCAGATTGTGTAGTTGGTTTTGTTCGCAGAGATACCAATTTGGTAGCTCATGCTCTAGCTAAGCACGCAGGTGTGGCCACAGTACGTTCTGTCTGGAGGGATGTTCCTCCACCATTTGTTGACTCTTCTTTGATTTAATGCAATCCGAAGCTTTCGGCTTTCAAAAAAATATAATTAAGGATAAATTAGGAAATATCAAGGAAAAATTAAAATCTGAACAATCTGAACTATTCATTTGATTTAAAAATTTGACGGTCATTTTTTCTAGGTAATGTTTATAATTAAATAAATATTTGAAAGTATATAAATGCAAGATTATATATGAGAAGTTCAACATAAGTAATTTAATGTTTAATTTGTTTATTTAAATATGTAATTCATAGTATATGAATACAATGTAATATATGAGATTCATTATAATGGTTACAAAACTTTTTTTAAATAGTAACAAAGTATTTTTGTTGCAAAGGTTTCTAATATATTTAATGAATGCACATATATACAAGATCAATGAATGAATCAACGGTACCAGTCCTTTAGATGTTTTGCTCAATACTCATTTAGTTCAACCATTATTGTTTTTTTTTTTTTTTTAAACAAACTAACCATTGTATATCCTTAACAAGTAAAGGGGCAAAAATGCCCTACAATGTTGCTTGGCCCAAAAGTGACCAAGTTTATAAACAAGTAAACAAAAGGCCATTCGGCTTAAGAGACCCAAAGCTAAGTCCTTCCACCAAGCTAGGCCTACACAAGGATTGCTAGCCTACTAAAACTAATCAATGTTAGTCTATCAATGCTACCAAGATGCCATTCGGCCAACAATGCAAAACAAGCTTGTAGAAAATAAAGATAATATTACTAATGAAATTATATCTCTTTTTAATTTTTTTTATAATGAATAATTTTTTTTAAATAAAGGCATTATATACATTGATAAGTGCATAATTGTTCATATTTATACCACATGTCTATCCCATATTTAGTTTTATTTTGCTTATGAAGTGTCACAATGTTGTTCAAAATTATCTTTATTTTGCTCATTTGATCCATTATGCACAATTCATTATCTTTGAGTAGAAATGAAGGATTTTAGATCATGTTGGATGCATTTGGAGTCAAGTGGGGCCAATGTGAAGCTAAGGAGATGGATGCAACACTTCCAAAGGAGCCAAAGAGTGATGTTTTCAATGGTGTTGATCATATGGACAATTAAACCAAGGCAAAAGTGGAACAAGTGTCAACAAGCTGAAATTCTCGCATGGATTGGCCACTGTTCTGTTTTCGGGCCATATCTCAGTCTAGAAATATCCAAATTACGTGATTCTTGTCCCATTGGAAAGAAGACTCAAAGAGCTACAACTCATATTCAGAAATCAAAGCCTAAAAAGGAAGCCAAACGGTTCAAAATTGTCCTTGAAGTTGAAGTTCCAAACTTACAATCCAAAACTGTCCACTGTTTGGTTTTTGGAACATATCTCGGCCTAGGAATGTCCAAAGGAAGTTATTCTTGCGCCATTGCAAAGAAGACTCGAAGAGCTACAACTTTCATGAAGACCATAGTTCCAAATTCTGATATTTTGAAGGCCAAAAGACACGATCAAATGCACGGCCGTGTCAGTGGCCGTGTAATTTCTGTGCATTCCAGTAGCTACTGCCATTTTGGACACGGCAAGGGACATGGCCATGTCCCTGGCCGTGTCACTGTTCTCTGCATTTTTTTAAAGCACGATTTTTGGTCATTTCTATTTGGTTTTGACTCTTGTTAGAACCCTAGACACTCTCTTTCATTCTCCTTCATATTTTTAGGTTATAATAGGCTTAGATTTATGTTTCTTAACACTTTGAAGCTTGTAATCTTGGATTTGAAGCTTGGATTCCAACATTTCAAGATTCCACCATCCATTTTCAATAGAGAAGCTTTCCTTCCTTTATTCTCTTTCTTTTGCAAGATTTATGTTTGTTACTTATGCTTTTGTGTTCTTTATGCTATTTAATCATGAGTAGTTAGTTTATGGACTTGAGTTAGGGTTGTATTATCTATCTTGATGCTTGATTTGTGATTATTGTAAAAAAGGGGAAGAACTCCAACCTAGGGTTCATGTGTTTATGAAGGTTTTGTATTTATATCTTGTTAATATTTGATGTACACATTCATTAGCTTGTTTTTGGAGGATTCCTTGCCTCAACGAGAGTTGGGTGATGAATCCAAGCTACCCCTTGCATATATCCGATTTCTTCTTACGAAAATAGGGGAAATTGGGGGCTTTAGATGCTTTGTGTGCTTGATGGACTTGGAATTGATTCACCACGAGAGTGGGGCAATTCCTTGTTCTAATCCTTGTTTATTAATCACGAGAATGGTTCGTAGACTAGGATACCTACGTGCATTCTCGCTTGATTCCTTGGTTACTTGTTCCCCCTAATCCCTTAGGTTGTTAAAGCATCTAGATAATAATGCTCCTTAGCTTGAGTCCTATTTCTTTATTTTGTGTTTATCTTTGTGTATATGTGCTAGTCTTATCATTTTCTTAAACTTGTAGTTTGCTTAGCTTCTTGTTGATTTTCTTATGCTAGTGCCCTAGTTTATTGTGATTGCATATTGCGTGTCATATCCCCAAATCCCCTGAGGACGATATTTCACACCCAGACACTCACCATCACTCATTTTTACCACAATCATACATCTAATTGGAGAAAATTTTTGTGCTAACAATTTTACTTTAATATATATAGAGATAGAGATAGAGATTTATTTTGGGCTAGTAGCATTCAAAAAAAAACAAAGTAAAGTAATTTTTGTGGGTTATGAATTTTGACCTTAAATCTGAACTTATTCCTTTCAAAAGAATTATGGGCTTTAATTTTTTTTACGAACCTATTTGATATATTTATGGCATTTGGATATGTTTTATTCAATAATTGTGATTACCGTATTATTCAAATCATTATTTGAATTTTATTCTTGAATATACCCATACATTAAATTGATATTATTGTGCAATTTATTTGTTTAATATGATCTTATATGCCTATTAAGTCCTATTAAGCATAAATAGTCTTTGATTATGCGGACTATAGGCTATCATTTAGAGGTGGGTTATCGTTTTTAGTCAGTTTTAGTATTATATAGATTTTTTTAGAAAATCTAGATGAGGCTGCTATCATCAAATGTGAATTCACCGAACTTGGTTTCAACGGGAGTAATTATTTAACATGGACTATTAATGTTGAGGTTTATCTATCTACGCAACTTGAATAAATGATCATTAAGAAATCCACGAGCGATGCAGCCCTAAAAGCTAAAGCCCTAATATTCTTACTAAAAAAGGACTCCTATGTTTTATGAAAATCCATGAAGGACCGTTTTGAGCAACAAATATCACTAGTCTTTCCTTAGACACAAGTTGACTGACTTAACTTGTGCTTTCAAGATTTTAAGTCAGTAACTGATTATAATTCTGCTTTACACAAAATTGTGTCCCAACTTACGTTATGTAAGAAGGATGTTTCTAAAACCATAATGCATGCCCAACTAGCTCTGCACAAATGCCCGAAGCACACAATGTTGCTTAGACATGCAACGCCAAGAGGGGTTGAGGAAGAGGTTGACAATAACTCCCGAAATTGAAATAAAAATGATCCAACTCGTCGAGAACAAGCACATTCATACAAACATAACTCTGGCTCAGCAGCAAAGTATGCTTCAAGTGTGGGTGTAAAAGGCGCTTGTAACACCCAATTTTTCTAGAATCTAAATCCCAAATAAGTAAACTTAAACAAAATAAATAAACAAGGTTTAGATAACTAAAAACCATTCAATTAATCAACCAAGGGTGTCACCGCCACAATCACCACTCACGGTGACTGCACAAGCTACAAAATCGGTTAACTAACTAGAGTCAAGCTCTACAAACATCATAAACTTGGGAAAACAAACCCCGATGTCCACGCACCACAAAAGATCGGTCTAACAATAACTAAATAATAGTTTAACTAAGGTAGAGACTAAACTAGTAACTATCACCCCAATCTACGTATTAAACTACCACGTGCGCTCTCACACACAGGGCCCACCTGAAAGGGGTTAAAAAACAAGTAGGAAAATAAACCCGTTAGCAAATTAATGTTAAGTATAAAGCCACTCAACCCTGTAAAATACTGTAGATATAGATTTGAAAAACATTTGGCATTCACAAGTAGTCTCAAGTATGAATATAATATCTTACAACACTAAATCAACAATCTCAATACATACTCTTAAACATCTCTATATGCTTGCAACCTATACTTCATATAAACATGTTTTTTCTCAATTACTCAACTTTAACACATACTCATGCTATAAACAGATATCTCCAAACATAGCTCATTATGCAATACTCAAACTCAAACTGATAAATAAGAGATAACCGAAACTCAACAAGCAAGATCATACTATTATGTCAACTCTTAAGCAACAACAAAAACTATACTTCTCAAAATGCTCTAAATGCAACTCATGCAACAAATGAAATCTCAATTTTTAATTGAATTTCACACACACCACATGTTTATTAGTATTTTAACTAATTAGCCAAATGAAGTCTCAATTTTTAATTGAATTTCACACACACACCACACAACACATATATATAATTATCATAACTAATCATAACTAATCAACATATTTATTACATAAAAAAACTTTATAAATGAATAAAGTTTACGTATCATAAAACTGTACACATGAAATTTATTTATTTTCATAAAATAATTTCAATATTTATAATCTTTAGTTCGTACCTACTAGTACAAATAAAACCGTCACTGATCTTGCTCATACGTTAGTTAAGGCGACTCGTTCGGACATTGATTCCCGTTGTTGGATTTTCTCGATTCCTTTTTGTATTGCTTTTTTATTATTATTATTATTATTATTATTATTATTATTATTATTATTATAAAGTTTTTTGAAAGTTTGGTTTTCAAAAAAAAAAAAAAACCCGCCACTTTTGGTTTGAAATAGTGGCGGAAAGTATTTCTAAAAAATAAGAAGAGTTAATTCCAACAATGGTCTTCCAACTATGTTGATTTTTCACAATTAGTCCCTGACTTTTAATTTGGACAATTTAGACACTTGACTTTTGAAATCTTTTCAATATTAGTCCTTCCGTTAGTTGAAGGTTAAGTGTAGGTTAGTTTGAGGGGTAAAGTAGTCATTTCACCTACTAATTTACTCTACTTTCTCCTCCCGTGTTAGTGTTGTCGTAGTATACGAGTATAATTCACCGTCTTAATAGTCTGGCCTCGACACTGGCAATCATAATTATTATTTTTTCTGGTTGGCATGTTGATATACCACTACTGGAAGAGAAATTCTTTCTCAGATTAAAACTGGAGATGTGATTTGATCTGCAAAGCTCGTGGAAGGCCAAGATCGCCTCGTTTTACCAAAAGAGAGTTTGTAAAATCTGCATATTTAGCCTCTCCCCTTCCTCTGGATAGTAGCCAACTTTGTCATGTTTTGATGATCTATATATTTCAAACTTACCAGCTGAACATCATCCTCCCTCGCCGTCCTGTTCTAACACTCTCCGGCGGAAGCGACCTTGGACTCAATTATGTCGGAGAAGCGGTGGTTGGGGATTTCCGGCGGACTGGACTTGTTTGCAACACGGGAAAGAATGGCAGCAAACCGATCAACATCTTGGGATAACAGATCAAAATTTTCATCACCACTGCAATTGGATGGTTAGCGAATCCATCCCTCAACTTCGCTAACCTCTTAGGCCAGCTCAGTGAATGCTCCTCCACCAAGTGAAGAGCGGCAATTTATATCCTACACCACAGCGCGCGTTGCATTATGCGCCCAGATGCAAAACGACGTCGTTTTAATTATTTTTTTTTTGAAATTTCCCGCCCCAGTGAATGGCAGTAGTTTTTTCTTTAAAAAAAAACCCGCTGTTCAAGAATGTACATAATGTTATACTAGAATACACATAATGTTATACATGAATGTACATAATTATATAACAAAATATACATACTCTTTTTAAAAGATAATACACATAATCTAACATAATACATAATAAACATAAACTTTTAACATAATACACATCAACTCTTAACATAATACACACAAATTTTCTGATTCGGATGTACATAATTGTATAAAAAGAATGTACATAATTGTATAAAAAATACACATAACTGTATGAACCAATACACATAACGTTGTGAACAAATACACATAACGTTGTGAACAAATACACATAATCTCAGCAACTTCCTACCGCGCCTCCCAACACTACCCCAAAACGACGTCGTTTTGGGAGGCGCGCGGCGCACAGTGCTATATGCGCCGTGGTGTAGGATATAACGATTGGTGAAGAGCAGCCTGGGCCTGGACAAACAAAAAGGAGCCATTCACTTTACACCATTCTTCCTTTAAACTCAGAAATCTAATTATGTCACCATTCAAATATAAAACAAAATATTACTTAGTTTTATTACAGTATAAAAAGATAATAGTGTACAGCTTTCATTAAAGTGAATCCTTCACATTCATCACACCATCCGAACTCAAAAAATAAAATAAAATTTGTCCTATTATTTCTATGATAATTTTCATTGAAATGAAGGGAGAAATAAAGCCAACAAGAAAATTAAATCAACCAGATCCTCCTCTGGGTACCCTTTCCCACCAACCAAAACCCCAAATATCAAGATTCCACACAAACCCAAAATACCCATTTCTCAAAACCTTCCCAAGATTCTATCTTTTTCTCCTTTTCTCCTATAAATCATTGCAAAGTTGTGCTACTGTATACTATGCATTCATTTTCTGGTGCAGGGTACGTGAATTCTGGGATTTGGCTTTAACGTAAATCAGAATTCTGAACTGAAAGCTACTTGTCATGCACGAGATGACGAGGAAGGTGGTGAGGGTGGTGACTGGGTTGTGCGGGCGTAGCGGCAGGAGGTGGTGACACGCTTGGCAGTGGAAGAGGACGGCGAAGCTGTGTAAGCTAAGGTGATTGGCCAACATACTGAATAGACAGATTTATCTCTTAAATTAACGGCCAACAAACTGATATTGGATGGAAGGATCTTTGGTGGAACGTTTTAAAAAGTCAAGTGTCTTTTTCGTCCAAATTAAAAATTGAGGATCAATTTTGAAAAATCACAATAGTGGGAGAATCATGGCTGGAATTAACTCAAAATAAGAAGAATTCTTTTTATATATTCCGCCTAGACTTCACAGTTCAGATCAGACGAGACGCACCCACCGCACCGCACCGCCCCGCCGCATCCTTCAGTTCAGATCAGACGCACACCGCACCCACCACCACATCCACCACCGCGACGCCACTGCTCCTGACGCCACAGCTTCGTCAATCTGCACTCGCCAACACCATCTCCACCGTCGATCTGCTTCGTCGCTCCCCTGCGACGCCAGAGCCACCATCACCGCATACGCCCCAGCCACCGCCCTACAGGTTCGTTTTTTTTTTTTTCCAATTTTTAATAATATATTTTTGTTTTAAGGTATGAGAAACTATAAACTGCCATTGGTTTGCTCAAGCTCCTGAGAGAAACTATAAACTGCCATTGGAGCATTAGCATCTCATCTGTGTTTGTTTTTGGCATTTTTGTTTGATGAAGCTCAACATTTAGGATTGCAGACTGAATGAATGAGTAGGGAATCCTTTTCTATAATATGGATGATGAGTTCTTTACTTCTTTAGTTAATGAATGGTTATTATTGATTAGTTCAGTAGAAAAATTGTGGTTCTTAGCTAATGACAGTAGTCTAGCTACAGTGTGAGTGTATTTTATCAACTATTGGTTAGAAAGATTGCCATTTGAATTAATTATATAAACACCCACATTCATTTCATAGAAATGTGATCTGCCACAACTCTCCTCATTTGATTGGATTTTAGACTGCTCTGTTAAGATGAGCTTAAATAGAGTTCAGATGTGTACAAGATTAGTAACTAAGAAGAGAGTGCTAAGTTCCAGAAACAAAAAGAGACCACATTAGATTAATTTTACTTGGTATTTAAGTGTGACATAAGACAAATTGAGAAAATCAATTCAGATAGTTTAGATGTGTTTACTCTATACATATATTTTAACCAATTAGAAAAGGAACAGGAAGGCCAAAACTTACTTGTTACTAAGCTATTAATAAAGATACACTACTAGTCTACTATGACTGAAGGGAGATGTAAAATTCTTCTAATTAACCTCAACTAAATTAATTAGAATTATGGTTTAGTTTAGATTTTTAAAAGGTATGTTCAAGAATGTAAGTGGATGCAATGGTCTCATGGACTGTTGGTCTTGGGATATGTGTTGAGAAAGTTAATTTGTACAATTTATCAAATCATGTCATTTTAATAACTTTTTATGCTTTTACTTTAGTTTTTTTTTTTTTTTTTTTTTTTTTTTTTTTTTTTTTTTTTTAAAGTAATTGTATTAAAGGTTGCTCCATCCTTGGTTTTCAAGAAAATAATCTTACAGTGATCACGATCAACTGAGAGTATGAGACTTGCTACATGAAAATAAGTGCAGTTCTATACATGTAAATTGTAATTGTAATTAATTGATTATCGAATAACCAGGGGTAAAGTCTAAAATTAAAAATCTTCTGGTATGCATTCAAAAGGGATATGAAGTTTTCCCTTTAAAGTGAAAGTCACTATTCCTGTGTGTGGAAAAATCCGGGAAATGGTGAATGCAAAAAAGAGATGTATTTGATGGATTGCATGTCAATCATATATACCCATCATTGTGATTCTTGACCTCCTTTGTTGCTTTTCCCATTTTTTTTTTTGAACCTTGAACTTTATTCCACACCAAAAAGGAGGCAAAACACCTTTACAATAGACGCCATAGCCCCAAAAGTGAGCTATGGCTCAAAAAATTCAACAAGGCCATTCGGCCTACAATCCACAAAGGCCATATCGGCCAACTAAATAAACTAACAAGGGGGTCCAAAAGTGACCACCCTAAACACAAGAGCCCCTAACTCTAGCTAAAGCAAGAACTAGATACAAGCATCATACCAAGCAAAGGCCCCAAAAGGCTCAAACTCTCAAGAGAGGCTCCCCAAGTCAATCTACCTCTAATTGCCAAACTTCCCTCCAAAACCTTCACATACCTTAAACAGGGTGAGCTCTCCCCGTCCCACACAAGTGATGGGATCGATGCCAAAACTCAAAAGGATCCAATTCTACCCCAACCACCCTTAAGTTAAGGTCCCATCCCCACTGGCACGGCGCACCGTGTTTTAGCTTGGGGGAACTTATAGGGGCCCGACTTAAGCAATGGTGCTCTCCTACTCCACCCTCATGCCAAAGACCCACCCCCTCGGCATAGTGTACTATGTTTTACCCCAAGGGGGCTTAAAAGGTCCCGACAAGAGCAATGGCTCCCTCTCCCACCACCCTTAGACCAAAGGTCAACCCCCACGGCACAACATACTGTGTTTTAGTCCGGGGGGCTTTTAAGACCCCGACCTAAGCAATGGTTCTTCAAATCTCCAAACCCATACCCTATTTTCAATTTCATTTCCAAACCTCCTTTCCTCATCTTTCATTCATCATTTCCATATCTCGCTGCTTCCCACTCTCGGCGTTTCCGTCGTCGCCTCATCGTACGATTTGCCGTTGATGTATAGGTGTGTCGGCTCGTCAATAGCTCATGTACTCGTACATTGCGATGTACCTTGCGCTAGAAATGTGGGACAAGCTTGGCGAAGGATAATTTATCAGTTTTTTTGGAATATGCGATGTGTCAACCTCCTTGCCAGGTTTGATGATGAATTTCATGACCTTACCGTTAACTTCATCCACGGGGTCGCCGGAAGGGTAAGGATATACTGCATTGTTGGCAAGAATTGCTGACTTAGACTCGGACTCGGAAAAGTCAACAACCACGTCAGCCACTTCAGAAGGGGCGAGTAGGATGTGGTGGAGGACAACTGGCACCTCGTTGTATGCAGAGTTAGATGCCACGTGGGTGAAGGTCAAGTTGTTGCTGAAGTAGAAGTTGAAGAACCTTGCGTTGCTGGCATTGATGATCCTGAACTGGTACTTTCTCCGGCGTACGGTCATGCGGGGCCACGCTTTCCCGTTGACTATGATGGCATCGCCGAAGTATTCCGGTTGCCAGTGCAGGTGCACAGAGGGGTTGTTCCCGGTGGAATTCATGTATAAGGAACCGTCGGTATGAAAACTACGGTCAAACACAACCCACGGCCGGTCAAACTTGTTGTTGTACGGTAGGCCCAGTGGGATTTCGAGATTGTACTGTATTTTAACCCTTAAGCGTTAGACCAGTTCCCCCGGTACATCGTACTGTATTTTAACCCGGGGAACCTGTACGGCCATCTACAGAAGCAATAGTATATATGCTAAGCACCAAAAGCCCACCTCACACCCACCCAACCCTTAATAGAACAACCAGCCTTTTCTTTCAACCGCCAAACTCAAGCAAGATATATTTAAAAGCAGACTAAGAGAACACTCACACCTCAGAGTGTATGCTATGCATGAAACACAAGAATCAAATCCCGCGAGACACACATCCACAGATAGAAGCAGGACATGCAAAGAGAGCACATAGCAGACAGAGAAAACCCCCAATACTAGAAAGCCCCCTACACCCTATGCCGCAAGGCCAACTACTCAACTAGCCCAGCAGAAAACAGAAATAAACATGAAGTAATAGTACAAGTCTGAAAATATCTCCGCTAAAGATATAAATGAAAGATAAATAAGGAAAATAGAGACGCGGCTCGCAGGCCAAAAATACAGGCACGTAGGCCCACACAAAGCACAGGCCAGCCAATCGCAACAATCCTCCCAACGGCACCAGCAACGAACAATAACTAGAACCCTAACGGGATTAGCTACTATGGGACAACAGCAAGCTTGACTAGGTCAATGGATTTGATAAATCCTGCCCAGCCACCGTTCGGCCCGGACTAGGGTGCCTCTTGTACCGCTGACACCTACGTTGTTGAGGCTAGACCTGACACAAAGTCAAACCATCATTGCCTCTAAGTAGTACTTTTCCTTCATTTCCCTTTTTTCCTGTTTCCTTTTCTCTCTTTTTTCAAATCTCATCTCATTTCTTTCTTTTTTTTTTTTTTGTTTTTGTTTTTTTGTTTTTCTTCATCATTTCTTTCTTCTTTTTTTTCTTCATTTTTCCAATCCTCTTTTTCTTTTTGATTTCCTTTTCTCTTTTTTCTCTCTCTCTCTCTCTCTTTTTTTTTTTTTTTTTTTTTTTTCAATTTTGTTTCAAAATGTGTTACAATTCATCAAAAGCAAAACCTCAGTTTAAGGCGGGTCATAATCATCAAAGAACACTAATGGGATATCATCATGAACAAGCAACGCATGCACCCTCGGCGGTAAGTCTGACAAATTACGGAAAATAAACTCCCCATCCTTATCCCCAACCCAATCTGCCAATGCAGCCACCGGGAGATTACCCTGCGGCAAACACTGAAGAACAGAAATAGATGCACAGGAACAAAGAAACCGGAGTCGTGACACTTCGGAGTCAAATACCCATGGACTAGGTGCGGAGTGGTCAACATAACCCTTAAGCTCAGGCAATACAGACTTTAGGACCAGGGACCTAAAACCCTCGACTAAACACCATTCAAGACAGCGGTGCATAACATGGAAAAAGTCCCAAAACCTGTCGACTATCGAAATGGCTAGGCCGTAGCAGAAACCACCCCCCGATTACGTACCAAGGCAGCAGTCCAACCCAATGACTCAGAATATGAAAAATTGAGCTTTATAGAACCATCCGGAGGGGGATCCTATCTAACAGCACGAATCACGCGCCGCGGGACAGTGGAGTCTATGTAGGACAGAATGACAGGCCAATTTGGTGGTAGGATGTGTTCCCGCGGCCATCGCCTAAAGAGACATTCTGCCACCCCTTTAGCAACGCCATACACCACTCGAGGCACACTCGGTGGCCCTCTGCCATGTAAGCATGTATTCCTGTGCTTCCATAACTCCCAAAGGATGAGATAAGGCAACCTGCAAATAACAAAAGCAACAAGACGGTTATGTGAAACCACCCAGTCAACAGCATCCGTAGACCCCGATGACTGAATCGCAAGCCGAGTGATCCCATAAAAAATCCTCATACAGCCCTGGCAGTGTCCCCTGCATAAAAGATGTGATCAATGGTTTCCCTAACAGGGCTATTGCAGCACCAGCATCTGGAAACAATAAGGTGCCCAAATCTAGCCATGGCATCATCAGTGGGCAAACGACCCCGTAATACACGCCAAGCGAGAAAAGACACCTTAAAGGGCAAATGCTTATGCAAACATGCACTCAAAAGAGGATCAGAATGCACCGGTTCAGGTCTCAATGCATTATACATCTTCCAAATGCATCTGCCCAGTAATAACTCCTTGTACAGCTATCTTAGTGTACCTGGACGGTTTTCTTGTTACCTGGTTCGGTTATGGAATAAGCTGTGAATTTCTGTATTAATGAATGTTTGATTTTTTTTTTTTTTTTTTTTAGAAAAAGTATAACTATGTATACTAGGTATTTGGGTTGTATTAAATCGAGTGTTATAAATTATAATAAACACTTGTTTTCATATTTTCATAATATCTCATATAACTAGACATATTATATAGAGTTGTATTTAGTATAAAATGTGTAGTATGACTTATTCATCATATGTAATGTATTTAATGAAAGGAATTTGAGTCTTATGTATAAAGCAATAACATCATCTAATTGACCAATTCATCATCACAAATCTAAGTAAAGTCTAATCAAATAATGTAAAAATTAGTAAATGTAACATTACGTTATGGAATATGTCACAAAAGTAAATAGGAATTTATTTTATTTAGGAAAGCAACAAAACCAGAGAGAGGGTCTAGAGTCTAGAGCTAGGTACGTACGTAAATTAAAAGATTTGGAATAGGACCTCTCACGCATTAGGGCTAATAATTAATGGGACCTCTAGAACAATAGGACTAATTAAATATGAGCATAATGGTAGTTAAGTTAGTTTATATATGCCTTAAGCATGAGACCTGAAAAGTA